GCCCCACCATTGCAACCCAGTCCCCACTGCAACATCCGCTTTCAAACTCAGACTCGTGACTAGGTATGCTCAGACAGGGCACAGTGTCCCACTCACAGAATCAGGACAACCAAAACGGCCATCCCTTGGATCCACTCGCCCTTAAGCGAACAACCCCCGTCAGCCCCACAAAGGAGAACCTGCACTGTCCAGGCACGCTTGACATCCCTCCACTGCCTCGTTCACCCGCTGCGGCTTCTCAAGCCAGTGGCAAGCGCCACCCCGCAGCAAGGCGCAGCAAGCAACACCCCCCCAAAATGGGCTAGGCTTTTCACAAGTCTCCAGGGTGAAGGCTGACAGAGCGCGAAGTCGTCAAGCGCCGATTCCGACGCGTCAATGCGTCACGTGATTCTTGGGGCAAGGAGCCCACAGAGGCGCAAAAACTGCGGGGGCCAAATCCTTTGGCACCACTGCTTGCGTGGCAAGCGTCAGCGAAAGGGCGAACCCCGACGCCGCTAACACCCAGCCACTGGCCGCGCGCCGTCTTGTGCGCAGAGCTCACCCCACGCGTGCCACGCAAACGCTGCCTTCAGCGATGGGCGCAGCTCCGATCGCGACCCTCGAGAGCGCGGGAACGCGCTGCGACGATCTTGGAGGACCGGCGTAATTGAGGCGTGCTCCGGCAGGGGAATCTGCAACGTCGCGCCACCATGCATCCCCAACCCAGAAACAACAGGGTAGTCGCTCCTGTGACCACAGCGGTCAGGGCCCCGCACGCTATCGCTGAAGGACGCGCGCGACGTGCGCAGTGCGCACCTGGTGCATTTGAGGGCCGAGGCCCACCAGGGATCTGGGAGCGAGCGCGGCGACCCTTCGGAAGCAACAGAGGTACACGCAGGGAATCAGTATCAGGACTTGACGGCCTGGTAGGGGGGAAGGGGCATTTACTCATGGAAGCTGTTGTGACGTGCCATTCAGACCTTCCTTGCAGGCAGTGCGCATTGGAGCGCGGGATGTGACAAGGGAAGCAGGTGGGTGGGGGGTAGGTGGGTGGGGAGTGGCCCAAGGGGAGGGCCAGTACATGTGGGAGGGGGGGCGGCGGGCGCGGGGGCACGGATGGACCTGGGGACCTGGCCCATTGAGGGATGGAATGGGCGGTCAGCTGTTTCTATAAATAGTGATAGTTGGGGTTATCATGCTTTAATTGGAAGTGGACCGAGCCAAAATATCCGGGGCGCTTATGCATGCATAAGTGCAGGGAACGTGTCAGACTTCCAGCGCAGGAAGTGCGCTATTCGGGCCGTTGGGGCCCAGACAACATGCTGTACAAGCGCATGTGTCATTTTGCGTAGCAGTGTATAAAAGCATGGTTATTGCCATTTAGAGAAACGGCTTTTCGTTCAGGCCTTTCCCATTCGGAATAGCGATCTGGGGGTTATTAAACGTGTCCTTCAATGGCTGGCTCACCAACAGCTTCCGAGTCGAAGCGACAGGGAAGCAACCAACGACAGAGAGTGCACCTGACTCACATCAGCATCCTTAAATCCCACGTGAGGTCCAAAGCAAGTTTAAATGCAGGGTTGTTATTTGAGAGTACGTTTTTTTTCCGTTTACATATTTATGACTGTATTTTACGTCTTTACGGCTCGTGACACCCAGGCTACACAGTGAAAGTCTATTACAATGAACAGTCTTCCGGCACCTCGAGCACCTTCGACACAGCGTCCAACTCACCATCGGCAAGGGCAAAAACGGCGTAGAACAAAAGTTCGTTTCTGCCCATAACAGCGCGTTTGGCTGCCATTCCCGGACTCCCTCAGTCTGTGTGTTTTGTCCTTATGTGCACGGGGCTGTCTTTAGGTTGTATTTACGTATTTTTACATCTTTCATGCGCAAAAACGTAAAGATCATTTTAGCATGGAAACGTAAAAACGATTAGTTATTACAGTGCAAATAACAAGCCTGCTTAAAGGAGTCATCTAGCCCTTGATGAGGGTCAACATTCGGTTTAAGGTGCCATTCGCGAGCCTACAGTGACCCTCATATTAATCTTACTCGGATATTATCAAGAATTTGCCCTGCAGGTTACAACATCAGATTCAAACGAGGCAACCTGCCGCATGGACCACGTAGCAAACCTATACATTACTTCATACCTGTACTCAACTAGAAAGCGTCACCATAACCGCCAAGACTCAATCCACCTCGCAATCCAATTAATCCCAGGGGAATTCAATGTATTTAACATAGTTTTGGAATAGATTACTCTTGAGACCCATTCATAAATAAGCATGTTAGAATTGCAGTACAACAAGAATTAAATTATCTATTTCTTCATCTTGTCCATTCACATTGGACAAAGATCACGGATGACGGTGAGATTCACCTCCCCCTTACAGTCATACTCGAGTTTCCGGGGATGTCATGGTACGGGTTCATGTGGATCGCCTCCCTTGCCACCACCACCCGCACCACATTCACTGTAAACGGCCAACATGGAAAATGACGAATGAGCAATAATGGTCGAGCCCAAACGCCCAACAGAGGGCCACATGGGAAATCATAAAGAAATTTGGAAATGATGTATTTGGTGTGGGGTTCTCAAGTTGGAGTATTGGGGGAAGACTTGATTCTTGAAAGCACATACATATGTCAGAAGCGGAGAACATGGGCTGTGGAAGGAAAGCGACTGCAGACATAGTAAATTCGGAGAGGCAATAAAGAGAATTGCGCGGAACTCACGGGAATGCATGCTGGCAAACCACGTACATTAGTAGACATAAGGGGCAGCGTGCGCTGGATGATACCTGCACATCATGCGGCCGGCGTTGGACGCCGATCGGCGGTTGGAATGGGGAAATTGAACATAAACACCATTCTGGAATTGTGGAAGAATTCGATGGAGCATCACCAAAAAATGTGCTCCCAGCTTTTCATTGCAATCAGAGTTCTCTTCGTATTAAAGTCCAGTCCGCCAGGCAGTGATCCCGGGAATACGCAAGGGCTGCTGTCTCATATGCATTCTCCTTCCTAAACGTGCAGGGTACCTTCGCTTCTGTTTTGGCCAAACCACCTCTGAAACTCTCTGGCCATTGCGAAACTCCATAGTTATTCCCTGTTCGAATAAAGCAAGGGGGCGAATTTCTTCTGGAAATGGGAATGTCCACCAACAGGCTGCGTCGACAGGTAAACCCTCTCCAGTCCACCACTCCTCTCACCCGTTGGTCGAGGTTCACCTTGACTTAACGAAGAGATGCCCTTTCCATCCAGTTATGGAGGTTGGGCACCCTCGCCTGTACCCTGCCATATTCCTATCCTGGCAGAGACCCCCCCACCCCCCCCCACCCCACCCCACCCCACCCCACCCCACCCCACCCCACCCCACCCCACCCCACCCCACCCCACCCCACCCCACCCCACCCCACCCCACCCCCTCCTTTTGCACCATGCAGCTGCTGGTAGAGCTCTAGTTCCCAGAAAGCAGCCACCATCTGAGGAGTCAAGATGCACCTGTCAAGCGAGAGGATTGAGCTCCCCTTGAGCTGACTCTGAGACCTCTTGAAGTCGGTTACCTCTTCAACGAGGGTAACAGTTAGTGCTATCCGTGTACAGGCTGCACACGAGCAAGGAGCCCCCTTGTCATCTTTTACGACAGATCCCATCACCATAGTCTTGAGGGGTTCTTTCATGGAAGCATGCCTTGGATTCCTGACCCCTAAGTACACGTTGCGCTCCCACAACGCATTTGGAAAAGAATTGCAATATTTTCATCGCAACCTGTTCAACCCATCTATTTCTGCCCTGCACTTCTCCGCCATCTCACTGCTCCTTTTTTTGAAGCCAATTGTTGTCGCAGCGTTTCCAAGTTGGCATCATCCGGGCTGCGGCGCAGCCGAAAGTCGATGCATCTGGGGATGAAAACACGATTTTGCCACTCCACGCTGGTGCTTTCATCAAGGTACAAATTGGGGAATTCGACAGCGAGTGGCAGCTGGGTGTGGGGGAGGATAGCCCACAGTGCTGGATCATCATGAGGCCAAATGACGCCTTCCCCGCTGTTGTTGTTCAATTCGTTGTGTGCGTTGCGGCATCAGAGGGAATATCTAGCGGAAGTTTCAGCGCAAATTTGAACACAATAAGTGTGCGGGGACGCACATGACAGATGGAAACGTGGGATAGTAGCTTTCTGTCGTGGTCCGTGAGAGTTCCATCCACTCCCGGAATGGGAATTAGGCGGGATGGGCTGTTTGCACGTCTGTGATGAGGGCGCGGGGCCGTTGGTACCGGAATCTCGATGGGACAGCGTCATACTCACATGGATGCTCTGGCCGGACGTGAGGTGAAATGTGTAGAATATGAGCAAAATTACGGTTTCTTTTCACAAGAAAATTTATGAAAGAAAACATGAGCAGCTTCAAAAGGAGCTCAAAGTGGGAATGAAGAATTCTGCAAGCACCCAACTGAGCACGCTGCTCAGACTTGCACCCTCGCTGTGCAGCGCGATCCATGCAAACATGCACGGCGGCGGTGCTATAGGTTTGGGGTTACTTCTTCCCCTCCAGTACATCCAGTACAAGGTAGCACCAGGGCGACCTGTTTTCGTGGACGCATTGCCACCAGTTTCTTTTTGTCCCCTGCGCGGTTGCTTCCCCATCTTTCTGTGTGCCTTTGCGAGGTCGTGGTGCTTTCCCAACACAGGGCTGACAACAGGGTCACTGCACGATAAATCTTCGCTATCCGACACTGACGACTGTAAAGAATGTTCAAAGAATTTGGCAACAGGGACAAATTGAAAACGGACAAAGCCAATGCACACACCAACACTTCCCATCAACTGCATCCTACAAGTACCAATGCAGCACCACAGGCCCCTTCCTGCGCAGGCACTGTCCGTTATCCCCAAAGCAACTTCCAAAAACTGCATGCCATCATCCCTTATCAAGCCCCATCCTATGATCCCCGAGAAGCTCTAGCCTGTTTCGAGACGATCTCCACATTCGTTGCGCGTTCCGCCTTTGCTCCTATTTTTTGGCCCTCGAGAATTGATTAGTCAACTCCGCCTGCATGGATTGCGTGACGGGCGCGTGATTCAGGTACTCCATGGTGAACTCGCCCTTGCCCTGCGTCTGAGACCTCAGTGTCGTCGAATAGCCAAACATTTCGTTCAGTGGCACATCCACCTTTGCAAACACAATCCAGTCAGCGTTTAGAATGGCTATCAAAACCTGGTCACCATCAGCCTATCTGACAGTGCCGTTGAGGCATGACCAAATATCGCATCAGTTATGTTGTTGCACTCTGCAGCTTGCATACCATCCACTGGTACTTGAGCCCCATATCCTATCTCACAAAGCACCAGTGAAGGCAACCGCTGTCGCTTAAACTACACAAGATGCCTACACAGCCAACAGGCGAAGTCAGCAACCCTCACAGCGTTCTCGCCCACTTGCACCTGTGCATTGTTTCTCTCAGACTTACTGTCCCAACAATGTAACTTGTAGCATTAAAGCCCACAAGTACACACATGCGACCACATGCCACAGAGCACTTGTAACCTGTGTTACACATCTTCCCTTGATTGGTATGGAGCGCTGGCATCATTCAGCAGAAGAATGCGAGGCTCTGCACATGCCTGGCGATTGACCAGCACTATATGGATGCACACCACTTGCCTGTGATGCTTCCATTTAGCGTTCGATTGGCACCAACTAGACACTTACCCTGAGTGCAACTTTGTGCAACTTGCGAATATCTCTACAGATACAGACACTGACGCATATACTGCCACATGCACATATCGCTATGTGGTGGCAGGCGTTTAAAGGACATACTGCACCTGAATGACCACATCATCGCGCTCCTGGTGGCTGCTCTTAACGAGCCCCTTCCTCTTGTTCAGGTCGCCAATTACGGTGCCCTGGAACTCACTGGGCACCGTGACCTCCACCTCCATAATAGGCTCCAGGATGACGGGCTTCGCCTTGGAGAAGGCCTGGCGGAAGGCGTAGATGCAGGCCAACTTGAAGGCCAGCTCGCTGCTGTCCACGGTGTGCGCCTGGCCGTCCATGAGGACGAACCTGACACCCTGGAGGGGCGGCGCGAAGATGCACAGGTCAGCTCATGCAGCTACTGGAGTCGAGGTTTTGTGGAAGGGCATTCTTGCTGACAGTAAAAGTGTGGGTGATACTGCATTCCACATTCATTGAATTGGTGCGAAGCGGTATCGCCTGCTGGAAGCAAAACATTACAATCAAGGTGAAGGGGACAAAACCGTACGTCACGAACCGATGTGAAGGAACCTTACAGGTGCATGCTCGCATCAACACGATAAAATTCAAGGATGGTCGGAGATCACTGGTTGTGGCCATGTTGAGCTGGAAAACGGGCAGGCAGAAGGTTGGGCTGGGTGGCGAGGAGGCACACATGAATAGATCAGGTCATGTGTGGCACATAACAGGTGGGGTCATGGCTGGTCAAATATCATACCAAATGGCAAACCAATCTTCCAGCATTGTGAAGCCATTAGCATGCATCTTTTGTCATCTTCGTGCATGATGCGATGCTGTGCCAATAGCTAGTTGCTCTGCTTAAACACAGCGTGCAGTGTCCAAGCACAAAAGGTAATCTGTTGGTTAATCTCACATATGCAGGCAACACAGATTTGAAGTTGGCCCTGCACTGGCTGTTGCACAAGAACACAGCAGACATGTGCACCCTGCTGTGTTAATCAAAACTGGATGGACTACATACGCTCGACTCATCACAATCGGTTCAAGGCCCCATCACTGGATGATTCGATACCGCAGGGACATCAATTGACAAGACCAAACAAAACTCGCCACTTCGTGAGCCTTCCTCACCTGAACCGGGTGGCCAATGAGGCCCCCAGAATTGACAGCCTCCAAGAAGCCTTTCTCACAAGCGGCGATGAACTCCGGAGGTATGGCATTCCCAACTATCTTGTTCTCAAACTCTGCCTTATTAGGACTGCCCTCCGGAAGGGGTTCTATGTAGCCTATGACGCGCCCATACTGCCCTGAACCGCCACTTTGCTTCTTGTGCAGGTAGTCAAACTCGCCCCGCTGTGTGATGGCCTCCCTGTAGTTCACCTTGGGCTTCCCGATGTCGCAGTCCACCCTGTCGCAGCCACCCACCAGTTACAGCTGTTCATCAGCAAAGTGGGAACTGCAAACAATGTGTGATAGATGCACCTGTGCTTTACGTGCAACACTGGACATGGTCTCAAGGGTGCAGTCCTTCGCCACAATTTGACACAAATGTTGTCTTAGCAGATCTCAAGCCCACTCAGCCAACATGAACAAAAGCCCATACATGCAAGCCCATCAGAAACTGGAAAACATATTTCAACATTGTGTTAAGGTAGTGGATAAGAGTGGCAATACTTCTGGCACCAAGCTGTTGCACCAGTGGGACACAGTGGTCTGAAGGAGTGCTCTGTCACCAACTTGCAGCAGGCTGGCACTAGAGTTGTGGCAAGGGCCCTCACCCCATCATGATCCAGATGTTGATGTGATCATAGTCCTGCTTGCTGCTTCTTTTCTTTTGCATTCCAACTTCCCAGTGACTACCATTGAAAGTGGATATGCTCACAGAGGCTTTTTTACAGGCTCCTATGATCATAACGTGGTGGTCCACGTGGGAAAAGTATAATTTGCTTTCTTTGCTGCCATGGCTCTTCACCAGCCAGCATCACAGCTGCACACAGTCACCACAGGAAGTACCACCTCTTAAGTTGAAGGCTGCAAGAAAGGTGACCAACAGTTGCCAAGGGCCAGACACACATCGGTGGCGAGCAGATTGCCTGGTAAGGAACAATAATTGCGATATGTGACATGCCCATCCAGGCCAAATTTGTTGCCAGAGCTTTTCATTCTCAAGTGCAATAATTTCGCTCACCAGAATTGCATGCGACTGACGCTGGCCCCCAACATAAGTAACTGTGTTCGTTTGCAAAGGTGAAAGTTCTAGCAGAAAAGAATCCCACCAAACGACAAGGGCATTTTTGCTTGAGCCAGCATTCTTGTGAGCTTCTTTCCCTTGCATGCTCGATGATACCAAAGGCTCTGAACACAATACAGTGCAGCAAGCAGGGCAAGAACTCAAACTTCTAGTACACCGCACTCACTTGTATTCTCTCCTCAGCCGCTCCACATACACATCCAGGTGCAACTCCCCCATGCCACTGATGAGCGTCTCACCAGTCTCAGCATTCAGCGCCACCTTGAACGTCGGGTCCTCCTTCATGAACCTCTGCAGAGCCTTGGAGAAAGCGGCTGTGACAAGGCTGGACTTGGGTATGATGGCAAGGGACATCACAGGATCTGGCACACGGATGGATGTCATTGCATATCGGACAGACCCATCTGTGAAGGTGTCCCCTGAGGCGCACTCAACTCCGAACATGGCCACGATGTCCCCCGCTGATGCTTCAGCGATGTCCTCAAGCTCGTCTGAATGCATCTTCACAAGTCTCGGCACCTGAAAATCGATTCTGAGGAGTCAGACGCTCGAAGTGGCAAGAACCAGTCGGATGCAGAAGCAAATTAAATGTGCTTGAAGCTGTTCGTGTTTGGAGCTGCTGTTGGCTTGTGTGTGTATGAGTAGAACCAATTAAGCAAATCCTAGCATGTGGCAGCATGGAACCCCCGCTACTAGGTGCCAGTCTGTCACTTCTGGTGACCTGCTAATCACTTTGGCAAAATGGGAAACACTCCCTCAACTACGCCTGATCGGGCCGCTCAAATATGTCATCTCTGCAATACTCAACAGCATCCCAGCATCAACTGCCCTTGGCAGGGGGGGAGCCAGTCCTTCACAAGCAAAAGAAATTGATGCCAGGCTGCATTGCTGCCTGCATTGATGCATGTCTTCAGTGATGCATACATCTGTGATAATGTGATGCACGACCTTGCACTCTACTTGTAATTGTTGTATGTGTAGGTGCCACATTCTCAATTGGATTTCGAAAGCATGTCCCTAAGCAGCAGCAGGAATAAACAAACTGCAGGAAACGAACCGTACATTTTACAACCTTTGGCAGGTTCATGAAAAAGGCTGCACTGGAAGAGGCCATTGCTCTGCACTGCTGCAACACTATATACAGTCACATGGCAGGCTGACAACCACCTCTGTCCAATAGCAGACAGTGCACTCTAAAGAATTCAGTCAGACCCTATGTTCAGCAGCGCGGGCACTTTGACAATGGAGATAAGATTGTGCATGATTTGAGAGACAGCAATAGCCAAATGATGCCCACATAGACTATACGGTGCCAAGCATGCAAAGAATCAATTCTGCTAGCACAAACTTCCTCCATTATGCTCAGAACAGCAAGGGGCAGAGCAAGGAGACTGCAATACAACCATTGTTTCCAGGGCAACTGTAGAGCCTGCCATGATGCCACCCAGTACCAGGTCACCAGCAGGAGGCAATCGGGCACCGCTATCTCCATTTTCTTCATTTCGAACCACAACATCCAAGTCATCTTGTAATACTTATTTTCGATTTCTTCTCTCCTGCTGCTCCGTGGCAGGTTGTTTATGGCATGCTGCTTCAGCGGCGTTCACAACGATTTAGCAGCTTCCAAATGTCCTTTGTCTTTCCCAAGAAATGTTCGACTGAAATCTGCCACCTGTTTCTTTTAGGTGGCTACAAGACTTTCGAATTGTGAATTTGTTCATTAATTTATTTACTTAGTTCATCAATTGACTGCTCAAATTAGCAGTACTTCATTGCTCTGGGTTGCTGGAAGGCCAGTATTCCCAGCCGGGCTGCCCACCTTGACCTTCTTCTTGTTCGTGGTGTTGACGATCCAGTCCCCCTTCCTCAGCGTGCCGGAGTACACACGCACGTACGTCAGCTGCCCATACCGCCCCTCCTCCAGCTTGAACGCCAGGCACACCAGCGGCCCCGATGGCAGGCAGGGCAGCTCCCGCACGGCCTCCCCCTCATCGACGTCCAGGCACTTGTTTGCCACCTCCAGCGGGTTGGGCAGGTAGTCTGCCACGCCATCCAGCAGCAGCTGCACCCCCCGGTTCTTGAATGCGCTGCCCATAAAGACTGGCACGAATGTCCGTGCCACAGTGCTACGGCGGATCGCTGCGCGAAGCTCTGCCTCGCCGATCGGCTGCTCGCCGATGAACAGGTCAGCCAGCTGGTCGTCCACATCAGCCACCTTCTCGATCAGCTCGGTGCGCTTGGACTCCATCTCGCCAGCAAGGTGGGCAGGGACGTCTGCCTTGACGACTTGCTCCCCTGGACGTGGGGTAAAGAATCATCGATCACGCAAAAGTCAGGTAAATGTACTGTCTGGTTCTGCTGCCTGCTGATGAGAGATCGCAGAGGGTGTTCAGGAAATGGGGAGATGTTAAGTCGAATGCTCACACGAAGATTGTCATTTTTAGCCACATGGGGAACCAGTTGTCCAACGGGGCACACTCCTCATAAGCAGGAGTTCGTGCGAGGTTTCAGGCTGGAACACGTGATGCAGAAGTCTCCAGGTGCAACAGGACTAAGTTGAAACACGTGGGACAATGACCTGCAAGAACTGCAGCAAGGCAAGGGGAGAGCAAGGCAAGTCACTCTCGTCAGCCCTGAGTGTCCATGGCCTGGACAAGGCTTCCACAACGCCAGTGCCTGGCCATATCACGCATGGTTTGAGGGCACTAGTCCTGGTTTGAAGGCCTTGCTCCTTGCGGACAAGGGGCTGTCTACCCAGGCATGGCATGTACACAAGCCCCTTGTGGGGTAGAAGCTTCTGGAGCTCAGACTGGGACCACAAATGGTTCTGAAACAACTCAGGAGAGCCACATTGTAGACATGGTCGTCCTAGCACTTGAACCATTCGACTATTAGTTCAACTCGGTACAGCAGCAACACCGGCACAACAATGAGGCAGCTTGGAAACAGATCTCCAACATTCCTTGCATCTCCTCACCTTTGGCACCCTCAAAATAGTATGCAGATCTGCCCACTACGTCCACCAGGCCTCTGTGGTCGTCTTCAAGGCCCAAAGGTATCTCAACCGCTGCACAGTTCTCGTTGAGCTTGTTTCGGATCTGCTCTATCACCTTCCAGGGATCCGCACCCGCACGGTCCAATTTGTTGACGAAGGCCAGTCGAGGCACTGCATAACGACGCATCTGACGGTCTACTGTGATCGTCTGGCTCTGCACACCTCCGACACTGGCAAAAGGAAAAGACCCGTTCCAGCTTGAGGTGCAGTGGCCATGCTATTGTCTTACAAAGAAAAGCAACAATGACAGTGTGGTGCAGGTTTACTGTCTTTCCAACAGAAGGCAACTGCTCACAAAGTTTTCAGACAGTCATCTTGAAGCACTGAAACACAACGAAAGGGACTTCACAGGCATAGCAGATTTTGAGATTATCAGAGGACTCCAGGAAACATGAGGATTATGGAAACCAAGAACACTGTCACAATTCTTGATCTGGACATCAGGTCTGCGCCTTGTCCCAATTTGCTCCATCCAACTGTTAGTTGTGTACACACACCCCAAACTTTATTGCCGCTGCGTGGCACTGTAAGCACATTCAAATGTTACCATCTAAGTGATGAGCAATTGCCTGGAGCACTGGTGAAACAACAAGTGAAACATCGTTGGGCTCATCTGAATGGCAGCACACTCACCCACAAAGAACAAGAATTGCGCCATCCAGCACCCGCAGTGCCCGCTCCACCTCGATTGTGAAGTCCACATGTCCAGGTGTGTCAATTATATTGATGTCAATGTCCTTCCACTGGCAATATGTGGCAGCTGACTGGATGGTGATGCCCTTCTCTCTCTCCAAATCCATGCTGTCCATCTTTGCACCCACACCATCCTTGCCTCTCACCTGCAAGACCACATGGCTTTGAGCAATACACATAAGAGATCCCTCTCCAATGCCATTGGCAAATCTGGGGTGCATCCTCGCATTCAGCACTGCTTGTCATTGCTGTGGCTTGCTTACAAATTGTCGATGGGGGCTAGTATTCTTGTAAAAAGCAGAACATGGCGCAAGCAGTCCTTTTGGGGCCAATGTTCCAGTTAACGGGGTGCTTTCAAAGATTTTTAGTGCGTCATCCTTGGTCCCAAGGCTTGCTTCAATATGCGATATGATCTGCGATTACCAACACAAGCATGACCCTGAGCCCAGGGCCAGATCAGGAAAAAGGAAGAGCAGCAGAAGGACCTGTGCATGAAACAAGGACAAGGTGCCGTATCGTGAAAGGCAGACGGCACCTCCTCAGAACATTATTCATCTTGCCAGCAAGAGCTTTCTGTGTGCCAGGCTTGGCCCAGTGAACTGACTTGTGCTGTGGCCCCTTGCATAAGTAGGTTGACAACCAAGCTGCCAACCACGCTGATCGGTGCACTGATTAAAGAAACTAAGAAGAGAAAACAAGCACCAGTCAAACATGCACCAGTCTGCAAGTCACGGAAAATACTTGCCAATTATTTGTAGACCATGAAGCTTGCACAATATGGCCTATTACATACTGTTCTCATTGCACTCCAGAGAGTTTCCACAGAGATCGGAAAAGCCTGGCTTCGCAGGTCTGCTAAGACTCGCTTCTTCTCTACTCTGAAGAAGATAATTTGCGATTGAGGTACGGCGTTGCCACTGATAGCTGAACATTCGAACCAAAGGGGTGCGGCCTGCGTGAAGGTGGTTGAAAACGGCGTTGGCAAATGGACTGGTGCACACGCCGCCAGTGTGGTGATCGAGTGCACTGGTGCATTGCCTGCAAAAAGACTGCGTCCCAGCCAACGTTGCCTTCTCAGAATGACAAGCCACGTTCCGTTCGCTTTTTGCCGTTCTCGTCCAACTTTGCGGAAGACCCAAGTCGCCGGGACGAAGTGCTGATCGGGCGAGGAGCGGAGCGAGTCCCACCACCTACAACACCAGATCTTCACGCTCCAATCTCCACGCCAACGGGCCCCCGTGCAGCCAGTCGGGCCCCCCTTTCCCCGCAACCCATCCCCAACCCAATCTATTAAGCGCGACGCCGCAATCCCAACCGATCTTCTGCAATCAATAAAATCACCGCCGCATCGCCCATTCCCAATCATCCCCTTCCAAGCCCCTCCCCCTCCCCACCTCGTGGATTGCGCGGATCCTGCCCGTGTAGAACAGCACCCGCTCCGTGAGCGTCGTCTTTCCGGAGTCGATGTGCGCGCTGATGCCGATGTTCCGCACGCTGGCCAGGCCCGTCCGCTCGTCATCGCCCAGGGGCTCCGCGACGGCGGAGAGCCATCGCGGGGCGCCGCATGCGGCCGCCGACGCGAAGCGCCGCGCCGCGGGGGGGAGGGCGCAGGCGAGCGGCCCGAGGGAGAGGCCCGCGGCGGAGGCGACCAGCTGGGACAGGGGTCCCAGGGGCCGCATGGGGACGGGCGGGTCTGGCAGCAGACTCCCTGGCGCGGCCTGGCCCAAACGCCATGTACGAATCCGTGGACATGAATTTGTCTGTTTCAAATTAAAACAAACAAGCCAATAAATAAATAAATAAACAAATACATAAACAAATAAAGAACAAACAATTGAACGATTAAATAATTAAATAGCCATTACATAAATAATAAATGAACAAAATCATACTTTGCCATGCTTTAGGGAAGGCGCTATGTCGATTTTTGTTATGCTTAGTGTCAATTTGACATTAAGCTCAGAGAGACACACGCACACACACCTTAGCGTCAATCCTTATGTCGATGCAAGTACGACTCAGCAACATAATTAGACTTGATAGGCAATTTCTGGGTGGTTTTTGGTGCAAAAAATGCCAAAGTTGTGCTCGTTTCAGTGGTTTGAGAAATGCGATTCTAATTGGCGTTATAGGCGAGGCGGGCAGCATGAATTGTTGTAGATTAGTCCATTTTAAGGCCTTTTCTGAACATCGAACACTTGAAGGTGGTTAACGAGCAAGACATGAGTTGTTTCTAGCTGATCCGTGGCGTTTTTGGGTAACTTTCCTCTTTATGTCTATTTTGTTGCAATTACATAATCTCTTAGCGTCACAGGTATGGGACCCCTCCCACCCTAGCGTCAATTTGACGCTTAGCGTAACAGAATCGACATAGTGTCTTCCCTTAGCGAAAAACTCTGGTGGAACTGAACCCCGTGTTCGTTCCCCCAGAAGTGTGTCTCCGTCATTGGGAAGTTTTCTTTGCGGCATTGGGAAGCCTAAAGCTGTTTGAAGGTGGTGCACAATGGCCTTTGGACATTCAGCTTGTGGACACCGAAGCAAGAACTGTGAGAGGTTTTAGAGCAGCTCGTGTTCCTTTCGAGTACGGTCATTGTACCATCCAGGAACGTGATGTTTTCACATTATGCTTGGATGCTGGTGAACATCGACGCTGTTAGCTCAGATTCACAGCTTGCTTGCATTTCCACATGCAGAACAATTGCCGACCAATACCTGTCGACATGACTACGTAGGTATCTCCTTCATTTGGCCAATGAACACTTTTGAAAGTTGCGATTACCCATCTCTCTCTACATATAACGTGCCTGAGGCGCAAGTACTGCAGCAGCACTGCAGCTATTGACGAAAATGCTCCGCTCTGAACCCATCTATTGAAGCAAATGGCAAAGGCATGCGACCATGGCGACGCCACACTCCGCCACGCACGTCCATTTATGTCCACGCACATTCAAGCGTACACGGCAGCTGGCTGCTAATAAACGGCCCTACCCCTTTAAATCCTGGTGAAAATCGCCGCCTCCTCTTCATTGATTGGCTGTCTGCCTGTTGCCGGAACGGCAAGCGGCACTGGACCGGACAACAGGAGTCCAGCATCAGGCACCGCGCCGCCGTCCATTGAATCGTCGCGCCAACTTGTGGCTGCCACCCGAACTCACACACAAACACCGGAGCACATCAAACCGAAGTCGGGCGCCTACTGTGCGTAGTTGTTCACAATGTCGCGTCCTGTAGTCGTGCGCGCTTTCCCGGCACATGAAACCACAACGGCGTCCCGCTGCCCCGCTGCCAAGCGAGCTGCCCCAAGCCCCCAGCATCTCAAAATTCTTGCAAGATGTGACCCATCAATCTCGGGCCGAAACTGGGTCCTCACGGGACGAGACCAGCCCCATTTCCTCCCGTGTCAACACAACGCCCGGCATCTCTTCCTACTAGTACTGACACACGGGTCGTCATGGTCACAACCGTGACCGACCGTGACCCAAAGCGCGCACAACGCGGTGTGACCTTGATGGCCCGTGCGTCAGTGTGAAGAGCACAACCGCCGCCAGTGTCCGCAGCCCAATCGTCAGGGTCGGCAACTCGGTGGAAACGGCCGAGCGGGCCGCGACTGTCGCACAACTGCCCGGCATACCTGGCCCCGGCATTACTAATCCCCCCTGGGCTTTGCTCGCAGTGCAAGGCCCCGGGCCCCGGGCTCCTTCCGCGCCCGCACGGCGGTGCCACCGGCGCGCCCACGCAAATAAACCGCACCGCCCCCCGCCTCTCCAACATCCGTAAATCCAGATCGCCATCCCTCCCTTCCCCCTCGATCCCAGCCTTGACGCCGATTCCAGCCACCGCGCCGATCGAGCCCAACAATCCAACCCTCGGTCCAAACCAGCGGGAGGCCGCAGTCTGGACCGGGTAGGATCTCGCGGCGCCGATGGGGATGCGACTTCCAGCGGCCGTGGCACTGGTGGCGCTTTTGTCGACCACGGCCGTGGCTGGTGATGACCAGGAGGATGGCGGTGCGTGGAATTTGAATCGGCGGTAGATTCTGGACGGCGCGTTTTCGCGCGGGTATTTGCTTATGCGAGGGGGCCCGTAGCTGCTGCTGGATGGAGCTCTGGCTCTTCGGCGCGGCGGGCGTGGGCGGCTAGTCGGCGAGGGGCGGGGGGGGGGGCGTGGTGGAGGTTGTGTGCGGGATTTGCAGTGACTAAGAGAGGGCAAGTTGGTTGCGCTTGGGCGGCTCCACGCGGAGGCCAATCCTCTGTCCAGCGGAGTTCAATTTGTGGGGATTTTTCGACTACTATCCACGGGGTAGTGCAGGCATGTGAGGGGAAGGACAGGGCACATTTCCGTGCTTCCCTGTGTTGGTGCCGTTCTACATGCTGACCTTCCAATATATGTCACTTTCATCTGATGCTTCCAAACCTTAATGCAGTACTTTCCGCAGGACATCGATTTCATCATTCCAGCATTTATTGATGGCAAAGCGACCCAAAACTTGGGCACGAACGTTGTCCAGGGACTTTCTCAGTTGGTATTTCCATGACAGCAAATCACAGTTTTGATCATCTGCCTGTTCACGCATCTATGTCTGCTGATCTGCGGACTCATCCATCCCGCGTTCTTTCTGCTCACCATGAGCGTTGCCACTACTAATTCTCAATGATGCAAAAGCACAATGTGTATCTTCCCAAATGCATTCTTGCCTTTGTGCGTATATCCAGCACGAAGCGGCGCATGCCAACGATGCAATAATTGTCTGCCAGTGGCTTTTGCATTCGTACTCCATACTAATTAACGCCATTTCGTCGAGCGAAAACTGGTCCCCTATATTAACATTTGCATTTGCAGCACAATTTTGTGTTGTAGATTTCACTGATATCGAGAAGAATAATTCCGTTCGTTTCTTTGCGCTCTTTCAGTCAGATATTCAGGTGTGCAGTGTCAGCGCACACAGCGACTGCACAATCACCCCAACATGTTAGGATGCCGCGCGCCGGCCAAGCTTCTGTGGAATCGGCATGCGCAATGACTTGAAAGCATGGGACGGAAACTAACCCAGCCCAATGCGTGATCTTCCCTGTTCACAGAGCCCAGCCAACACACTCGTTAACGATTCACCTGATTCAAATTGCCTCGCCCCCTGTTCCCAGACTCCGACTGCGACGCCGCGCAAGACGACGACCTGGTCAACATCCACCGCCTGTGGAATCCCTCCCCCGCCTGGTTCGACCACTTCTACACCTCCCGCCTCAACCAGGCGCTCAACGCGCGCGACCGCCTGGGCTTCGCCCACGAGGGCCTCCTGGGCAAGTGCTTCGCCTCCAGCCGCCCCGACACCGTGCCCCTGTTCCGCCTGTTCCGGCCCAACGGGGGCTTCCGGGACCACTTCTACACGGTGAACGCCACCGAGCGCGACGAGATGCACAGGCGCAGCAACTACCTGAAGGAGGGGGTGGAGTGCTGGGTGTACTCGGAACCCGGTGGGTGCACTGTGCCGGTGTTTCGGTCCTTCAATCCCGCGGGAGATCATTTTTACACCGCAGACGTGGAGGAGGCGTCCGCGTTTGAAGGGGAGGGGTGGGCGTTTGAGGGATTGGCTTTCCATGTGAGAAAGCCTGACGATTGCCCGAAAGAGTGTGAAGCAGACGGGGTGACCGGGTGCGACGGTGGCGAACTGTTGTTGTGTCGAGAGGACGGGAACCTGTGCCAGCGGTGGGAGAGGAGCAGGACGTGTCCGGAGCGATGCCACGCGGGGGAGTGCCGGCGGGATTGTGAGGATCGGTGCGCGACGCTGGACGAGGCGGCGTGCGGAGAAGGAGGCGTGGTGAGGTGCCGGGTTGACGAAACGGGCTGCCGGGATTGGGCGTTGGAAACCGAGTGCGCGGAGCGCTGCCACGAGGGTCAGTGCCAGGACGCCTGCGGCGATGAATGCACAACCACTGGCGAGCTCACCTGCGGTGATGATGGCGGAGTGCTGGAATGCACCGTCGACGCGGTCGGATGCAGGCAGTGGCAGTGGAAGCACGGTTGCGGCGACCGTTGCCATGAGGGACAGTGCCAAGACGCCTGCAACGGGGAATGCGCGACCGAGGGCGATCTGACTTGCGACGATGGCTCCGTGCTCAAGTGCGTGGTCGATTCCATTGGCTGCCTCCGGTGGGAGCTGGAAAGCGAGTGCGGCGAGCGCTGCCACGAGGGGCAGTGCACGGAGGCTTGCGAGGACGGCTGTGCGGCCGTGGGTGACTTGGGCTGCGACGGTGTGGATGTGATGGAGTGCGGGCTGGATGGCATGGGATGCCGGCGGTGGAGACGCAATCACACGTGTGAGGAACGCTGTCATCAGGGTCAGTGCTTGGACGCCTGCGATGACAAGTGTGTTGCGGTTGGTGACTTGGTCTGTGACGAGGACGCGGTGCTCGAGTGCGCCGTGGACCCCGCCGGATGCCGACGCTGGGAGCGGAAGCACGCATGCGAGCAACGCTGCCGCGAGGGGCGGTGCATGGACGCCTGTGACGAACAGTGTGAGGCTGTTGGCGAAGTGACTTGCGGCGACGGCAGTGTGATCGAATGCCAGGTGAACGAAATTGGCTGCCGCGAGTGGCAGTTGCAGAAAGGGTGCCCTGAACGCTGCCACGAAGGCCAGTGCCAAGGCGCCTGCGACGACGAGTGCCCAGCCATGGGCGAGCTAACATGCGGTGACGATGGCGGAGTATTGGAATGCACCGTCGACGATGTCGGATGCCAGCAGTGGCAATGGAAGCACGAGTGCGGTGGGCGTTGCCATGAGGGACGGTGTCAAGAGGTCTGTGATAACCAATGCACGGCTTTGGGCAACGTGACATGCACTGATGGAAACGTGGTGAAGTGCCGGGTGAACGACATTGGCTGCCTAGAGTGGGGGCTGGAAAGCGAGTGCAGTGAGCGCTGCTACGAGGGGCAATGCCGAGAGGCATGCGAGGACCACTGCGAGACTGCAGGTAAGCTGGCCTGCGAGGGCGGCGCCGTGGTGGAGTGCGCCCAAGACTCGAGCGGATGCCGCCAGTGGCATCAGAAACGCGAGTGCGACGATCGCTGTCACGAGGGTCAGTGCCTGAACTTCTGCGCCGATCAGTGCCCGTCCACCGGCGAGCTGTCGTGCGACGAAGGCGACGTGCTCCAGTGCCGTGTGGACGCGGTGGGATGCCGCCTGTGGGAGCGGTGGCAAGAGTGCAAGGAACGCTGTTTTGAGGGCCAGTGCAGAGAAGCGTGTCCGGATGACGAATGCGCAACCGCCGGCGAGCTGACCTGCGGCGATGATGGCGGAGTGCTGGAGTGCGTTGACGATGGCTTCGGATGCCGCCGCTGGCAGTGGAACCACGGGTGCAGCGACCGCTGCCACGAGGGTCAGTGCCAGGACGCCTGCGAGCACGAGTGCGACGTTGACGGTGAGCTCACCTGTGGTGACGATGGCGGGATTTTGGAGTGCATTGTCGATAAGAACGGATGCCGACTGTGGCAGTGGATAACCGCGTGTGACGACAGCTGCAGTGAGGGACAGTGCCAGGACGCCTGCGAAGATGAATGCCCAAGCAAGGGCGAGCTGACCTGCGGTGATGATGGCGGAGTGCTGGAGTGCGCTGTCGACGCGACCGGGTGCCGGCGCTGGCAGTGGCGGCATCGGTGCGGCGACGGCTGCCAGGAGGGCAAGTGCAAAGAGACCTGCGAACAGGAATGCACAACCACCGGCGAGCTGACCTGCGGCGATGACGGCGGGGTGTTGGAGTGCGCTGTCGACGCGACCGGGTGCCGGCGCTGGCAGTGGCGGCATCTGTGCGACGACGGCTGCCAGGAGGGCAAGTGCAAAGAGACCTGCGAACAGGAATGCACAACCACCGGCGAGCTGACCTGCGGCGATGACGGCGGAGTGCTGGAGTGCGCTGTCGACGCGACCGGGTGCCGGCGCTGGCAGCATGTTATCGGCGCGACGACGGCCGCCAGGAGGGCAAGTGCAAAGAGACCGCGAACAGGAACGCAATAACCACCGGCGAGCTGACCTGGTGGCGATGACGGCGGGTAAAGTTGAGTGCGCTGTCGTGATCGCGACCGGGTGCTTCGGCGCTGGCAGTGGCGGTTATCTGTGCGACGACGGTCAAGCCAGGAGGCGGCGGCAAAGAGTCTCGCGAACAGGATGCACACAACCACCGGCGAGCCGCTGATCTGCGGCGATGATTTGGCGGAGCGTTGAGTGCGCTGTCGACGCGACCGGGTGCCGGCGCTGGCAGTGGCGCATCGGTGCGACGAGATTTGGCTGCCAGAGGGCAGTGCAAAGAGACGAACAGGGCACGCACAACCACCGGCGAGCTTCGACCTGGCGTATGGATGATCTATGGGGTGTTGGAGTGCATTGACGACACGAATGGATGCCGGCAGTGGCGGTGGAAGCACGGGTGCGACGGCCGTTGCCACGAGGGTGAATGTCAAGGCGCCTGTTCCGATAAATGCCCAACAACTGGGGAGCTGACCTGCGGCGATGACGGCGGGGTGTTGGAGTGCATTGACGACACGAATGGATGCCGGCAGTGGCGGTGGAAGCACGGGTGCGACGGCCGTTGCCACGAGGGTGAATGTCAAGGAGCCTGCTCCCAGGAATGCCCAACAACTGGGGAGCTGACCTGCGGTGATGACGGAGGGGTTTTGGAGTGCATTGACGACAAGAACGGATGCCGGCGGTGGCAGTGGAAACACACGTGTGACGACCGCTGCCATGAGGGACAGTGCCAGAGCGCCTGTGAAGATGAGTGCCCAAACACGGTCGAGCTGACCTGCGGCGACGACGGCGGGGTGCTGGAGTGCGCTGTCGACGCGACCGGATGCCGGCGCTGGGAGTGGCGGCACCGATGCGACGACCGCTGCCACGAGGGCCAATGTCTGGATGCCTGCGCTGACCAATGCCACTCCGTCGGTGACCTGACCTGCGGAGACACCGGCGTGCTGGAGTGCCGCCTCGACGGCGCCGGCTGCCTCAAGCAGCTGCTTGCAGCGACATGCGAGTTTGGGTGCGACGGGGGAAACTGCGTCCCCGGCCCAGGCCACGCTGTCGCGGGTGAGACCTGCTCAGGCCACGACTGCGCTCCTGCCGAAGGCGGCATGTCTAACGCCACAACTTGCGACGGCTCGCCCTCGAGCAAATCCGCTACAATCCACTGCATACTGGTCATGGACGGCTGGGGGTGTGGCATGGAGTTCCTGGCGCTCGCCAACAGCGCGGAGGAGGCGTCCGTGTGCGCCCGGGAACGGGGCTTGAGACCCGTTGCGCGGCTGTGCCAGTTCCGCGTGTGGGTGCGCGGAGTGCGGCTGGAGGCGCTGGCGCCGTCGGAGGGCGAGGCCGTGCACTGCCTCAGGGACACGGTGTGCAACGACTGCGCCATGCGGGTGGAAGAAGTTGGGCCGTGCTCGGACGGGTGAGGGCGCGTTCCGCCTGGGGCGCTGTGAACCCATGGGAGGTCGGCTGGATCAAATTCCAAACCGGTGGGCATTGGTTTGGAAAATGCATGCGTCAATCAAGAGACGAAAATGATACGCCCATTCGCCTTGGAACTTTGAAGCACAAGGGGCACAGCAAATGCCGGTGAAGCCAATTCTGGTGAAGCTGGACATGAATAAACGGTAGGGCACAATAAGAGTCGGGGGCGCAATGCTGCCTTCTGAGGATGGCATTTGGAAGGCCAATTTCAAAGCAAAGTGCACATTTCTTTTTTGCGTGCACGGTGTGAGACGGGATCGCCTGGGAACATGCTCCTCGCGTCGGTTGTCTTGGCACCATGCAGCAGTTTGGGCGGCGCGCTCGCCCGTAGGCTGCCAGTGCATCAGTCTGCTCCGTGACACGCCTCAGTTGATCTCCAGAACTAGCTGGTGATGCCTAGGGGTGTGGCTATCGTGTACAATAGTAGCTGTCGATAGTTAGAGCGTGGAAGGCGATTTTGTCATTTGTTTGACTTGCTTAGAACTTGTAAGATACAAGACTGTTCTTGGGGGCTGTGTCTTGCCATGGCAAGGGCCGGTGTTGGGATGGTAGAAGGGCACAGCAGAAGGTGCTTTGGGTGCCACAACGTGTCATTGACAACCAAATGCGAGGGCTCGGGTCAAGCCTGGCTGAGGAGTCTTTGATTGGGAACGCTCCTGCGGTCCCCTGCATGGCCAACAGGCCCGTCTCCGATAACGCAGTTTTTCCAAAGTCCTTTATCCGAAACCCCGTCTTCAAAGTTTTGGAGATTGAGGCCTAGGTCATCAATCATGCAGCGGTAGAGCAATCAAAGCTCCCTAGGTGTCAACGGACGCACCGGGCGGGTGATGCCATGCCCCCGGTTCTGAACGCCCAGTCGCCGCCTCCGTCGAATTCAAGAGCTCTTTCGAGTTCGGAATCCGAGTTGCAGATGCAGTTCGATGCCGCGTTGAATCGCCACGCACATGCTCCGCTCTGGATGCCCAAGGCGACGATGAATGTGAGGTGCACAAGCGCGGCACCAGAAACAAAATACCGCCGTGGCTCAGTTTCGAACGGAAGGACCCGTCCGTTATTCGGGTGTTTGCACGGCGCTTCCGAAACCCTCGTCGTGTGAGCGTGACTGGCTCCAGCTGCCACCGGCACAGCATCCATCGAAACTTTCGGCTCGGACCGGCGTCCACAGTGATGGCTGCGGCGGCAGCCTGAGAGATGACCCGTCGATGGGCACTAGTCCAGGAATTCCAGGCATGGCTGACGATGTCCTCGTTGCCACGGCATCAATTTCACAGGAAGTCGCCCGGAAGCAGGTTTAGAAACCCACGTCGCGAAAGAGCTCTGCTGACGCAGCACACTGGTGCGGCCGTCCAGCGCTTGGTCGCTGCGCTTGTCCTCTGCACTTGTGCGCCTGGTCGCTGATTGGACAGGAACAGTGGCAAAGTGCATGGACTTGAGCAACCAGCCAGACGGTTTCCAACACCTGTCCAACCGGTGCAGCAGAACAGCAGGCACGCCCAATACAATCATTACCAACGGCAGACAGCCTTTCTACTCGGAACAAAACCCCCAAAAAGAAGCCCAATCCCAACCACGCCCACACAAGGAGCACACTCTGGAGCCCAAAAACCACAAACAGCCAACCTTGCCTACCAACTGACTTGCAGCAAGATGGGCTGGACAAGAGATGGGGCGTTCAAAAACACAGCTAACCACATCTAATCTGCGCAATCTCGCCTTTACCTAAGCTACCTATCCCCTCTCCTCCCACCCCTCTTGCAACTGAGCCTGGCCCATCTTGTCCCCAAGAAGCCGTCCACAGCGCAACATCCCTGATCCATGCTACTGAAACATTTCATCAACGCAAGTCCCAGTGATAGCACCCAGCCAGCATAGGCCCCAATACACTCCACACATAAATTTCAGACATATGCATGCCTCTGACAACCGCGATATGTTTTGCAGTACACCCACAACCCCACAGAGCTGTTCGTTTTGCTGTGCCCCAAGTTCACACCAAAATCTAATTGCCACAACCTCGCCTCGTGCATCGAGTCACCTAAGCCATGGTCCAGTCCCCCCACCAAAACCACAGACACCCCTCTTTCAACCTGTTCGGCAAATGAAAACATTGTTCCCACGCAACCACTCCTGCACCTGCTGTCCACACCATATTAAGTCTGTCACCATCCTACCATGGCCCACAGCGCCTTTACATATTCGCATGCATGTCACATGCATGTCAGTAAATCTATGCCACCCTCAATGATCGCTGCAACATTGCTTGCAAAGCTCCCATTGATCAGCATCCATTTCTGTTCCTTGTCCACCCATAAAATCTAAACCACTAAGGACCTCAAACTCGGCACCCCATGCGCCGAAGGGCCAGTCGCAGTACATTTGGCTCACAAGAAACACCTGCACCCAGGAAAGATACGGCTGGAAGGCAGCCGTCTGTCCTCCCATGCTTTCCAGAGAGTGTAGCAGAGGCTCAGCTGGGGTTGTTGTTTTCCGTCTTCACTCCAACTGCTATGTTTTGTACCTGGCCAAGTTTGAGTCGTGTTAGCAAACAGGCATGCAATGCACTGCGATGGCCACCGAGACGGGGAGGCACAGAGTCTCGAGTGTTGAAATGATGGGACTAGCCACTCACAATTGGGTGAAATCCCATGACGCAGTGTTGGTGTTAGTGCCCTTGCTTCTACCTCTTGCGCAAGGCAGTGAATCAGTGCAAGAATCCAATCACTTGCAAATGGGCGTGTGCCTGCCACAGTCATTTTTGATGTGGCCGCCTCTGTTTACCCCACTGCTCTGCGTGACAATTGTGCCCAATAGGCGAATGGAGTACACATTTGCTGATTTTCCCCTCCTGGATCCCGCAACAGTGATGCAAGCGCTAGCTCTTACAGAACTGTGAGTTGGTAGGAAGACAAATACATTCTTTGGTGGGTGCGTAATGCACTGATCAAGTTTCCGTTGAGGTGCCACCAACCCTCCCAACCTCCTTTTTCTGGTCCACCCGCATTGCCTTAGCTTTTACAGGTCCTGCCTTGTCCAGTACACACATGGACACAACGTAGAGTTTCATCACCACCAGCCTGCTTGCCCAACAACCAGCTCATTGCCGTCCTCAACAACCTCAGAACTCAAGAGATAAGGGAATACACCCTTGTGCCATACACAACAAACGATTTCGATCAACCCACCTCATTCCCCTCGTCATCGAGGCTTGGAGGATTCTCCACCACAACAGTCGTCTTTGCGACAGCGGGCTCCATGGATGTCGAGGGGCCACCCGGTTGGGGCGCTGAGGATGCGGTGGATACTGCTGGTGGTGGGTTCCACCGGTTCTGGGTTGGAGGCACTTGCGTTACAAAGTTGCACATCGCGCACTTGACAGACTGGGCGCCGAAAGCGTACATCAGCGTGATTCGACAGCCGCCGCACACCACATGTGCAACTTGATTTGCCTGCAGGTTGCCAGATGCAAGCTTCAGCACTGGATCTACTGTGCCAGCCTCTCAGTATGCAATTCACGGAATGCACTGTACACAACTCGATGATGAGGTTGTACAATGCAGCATTTGTCATGTCAGGTACAGGTGAATTTATCTGGGACACAAATCCAAATCGCACCACACTTTGTGGGCCAAGCTCGACAAACATGTCCCTAACAAACTATTTTGTCCCATGGATGGAGTGGTGCATTTACCCCTTCTTCACAGGACAGCTGTGCACGGTGCCACCTGCTGATGAACAGCACGAAGCAAAACTCCAAATCCAAGATTGCACCCCACCTGTTAAAGCCCAAAGACACACACGGCAACCAGACAGTGATACGCAACTGGCCTGTACCCCAACTGCTGGTGCACGAGTCTGGATGCAGTATACCAAAATGGTTTAGAGAGCAAGGCTGGAGGCTAAGCGGCTCACCTCCCCCATCAGAAAACTGAAAGGAACAGAATGACAAATCAAGGGAACAAAACACCATTGGGACAGCTATGCATCTGTGTGTGGAGTCCGTACAGCACCCATGGAGATAACTGTGGCACCATCAGTGCAGTCCCAGGGCAGGGACACGGTTGCAGCTCTCAGTCCCAAACACAAGTTGTTCATTTGTGCATTTCCCTCACACCTGTGATATCAAGGGATTTTCTGGCCACACGATTTCAAGCAGCTTTCCAGCTGCCAAAAGCTGCACCAACATCCTTGTTATGTTCACCTTGCATAAACATTGGTTCACCTTCTCAATATATTGGTGCAACTACATGTTCTTGTGGTGCCTGCCTTCAGCCATGGGCTTATGATGGTCTACCAAACTGTGCCGACAGCATGCAAATAGTCTCAAGATAAGGGAAGCCAGTCGAAGCTCACTTGTGATGCAGGATTCAGTGTGTGGCATATGGAGCACTGCACTGTGCTTGCACCCCGGGGGTAGACGAGCAGCATTCGGCAGTGACTGCAGACGAGCTGGGCGCTCTCAGGGCCTGCCACACATCAACAAACGCTGAGCATTTGCATGTCCTGACATGCAGGATCTGCTCTGCATGAAGCAAGGCAAACTACTGTACATGCACCAAATGAGCTACATCAATCATCCCATGCATCAGCAGAGATTGTGTTTACATGCTTGCTGGTATATCATCCCTCTTCCTGTAAGAGCAGAACCTGCTCTATGCATGCTGACACTCAAACACTACAACATCCAACATTACGCAAGTGACATCGACCAGTTGCAGGAACACAAAAAGTGAGGTGAACTGATACTGGGGTGGGTCTTTTTCTCAAGGATGCATTCATTTACACGCATTTGTTATCTAAATGCCGCAATCGATGGGTTTCCCTTGAGCGCAGTCCTGCCTATGGAATTATTGTGATCAGATCGTGTGCACTCACCTCCAGAAATGGTGACGGGTGTTATGTGGCTGCACTGAGAGCACCGAACATTGGAAGCTCCCTGTGGCAGGTAGGGTCACATTGTTATAGATGGTGGTGGTCTGTGCATAGGAACAACAGTCCCTCTCTAGGTCTCCAGTGTGTTGACTCCATAGCAGCTATTATGAGTGTCCAGCATAGGTCACAATCAAGGACCATTAAGCCATCATGTGATGTCCACCACACAAAACGATGCCACTGAGTCCACCCCACCACACATTTTGCCTGCTAGGGTATGTGTGCAGGCTGTCATGCTCTGCAAATGATGTCTTGGATTGATCAAGCAGGCAATCTGGGTCTAAACTGTGCTCTGGTGTTGTTCAGCCCTTTGTCAAATCTTCCACGACACAGAACGACTCCAGCAAAAGTGCTGCTCGCGAGGGGTGTTGCCATTTGGGTGGCCAGCATCCCTTTTCCTCGGACAATCTAGGGCATGGGGCCGATACCCCAGGGCATCGCACCTGAGGGTAGAGCAGCAGGATGCCACACCTGCCGCAACGTATCTGGCTCTGAGGGCCCGCTGCATCAAAGCCACAGAGGTGGGCCGTCAGCAAATCGGCGAGCTCGCTCTGCAACTTCTTGCCGTGCCTGCTCCCACGTCCCACCATCAACCCAGCAATAGTCAAACAAGCGCTGATGTTGCCAGACAACAGCTGCCCAGCCACACTCCCCTCGCACCCCAACATCACATTCGATTGCTTCTAAGGGGGTGTCCTTTGCGCATAGTGTACTTTTTAGCAAAATTTCATCCTTTGTCCCAACCCAGCCAAGTAGCAAGCCAAGAATCGCGGATCAGGGCCCCCAGAAGCTGTTGGGCAGGCCCCGGCGCCGATCCCAGCCGAGATTCCCGCCTCCACGACAGACAGCACCCTGGCTCACAAACCCATTCCCCCCCCTCGACAACTCCTGCCCGGCATCCGCGAGGCCCGAGCCCGCCACTGCCCGACGCGGCGGTCCGCGCGCCGGTCGACCGCGCGGGAGGCCAGAGGACAAAATTGCCAGGCCGAGGGACAGGAAACATTCTCGGCTGTGGGCGCGCCAGTCGCGGTCCAAGAGGCGGCAGGGCACCGCTCCGTCTTTCGAAAGCAATTCCGCACGAATGATTTCGCGGCGACGTTCGGCGAAGCGTGAACCGCGAGGCGTGAAGAATGAAACGTGAAGGGCCACCCGCAAGACGCCCGCCAGCCATGCCAGCAGCGGCATGAGCAACCCCGGCGTTCTTCAGGCACCTCCGACCGAAGACGGCCGCGCTCGCCGCCCTCGCAAGCCGTCCACTCCGCGATTCCCGCCGCAAGGCGCCCGGGCCGGGGGGCACTTGGGCCCGCTAGCACGCCCGTGCCCCTGGGCGCGCAACACTCCGCAGATCCCCGCCCAACTCGTCAACTTCCGAGACGCCGTTCGGGCGCCGAATGGCATCTGAAGCACGGCGCCGGGATCGATCCCCGACCCCGCCATGCCGCCGGGCCGCCGCAGGGAGCAGCCCCAGAACAGAATGATTCGCAGCTGCTCGACGGCGGGAAGGGAGAGGGGAAGAGGAGGAGGGGGTGGGTGGGGGGGTGGGGGGCACACCTTGAGACGAGCCTTGGTAGGGGCCGGACGAGGAGCCCTGGTAGGGGCCGGACATCAGCTGCTGCTGGGATGCCATGCCGATTCTCGGACCTGGGCGCCGCCAGCAATCGGCTCCGGCGATGCCAACGGGTGGCCGCGCCGCCGGCGGGCGGTCCTCTCGGCGGGAAGGGAAGGGAGGGGGCTGGGCACTCGGAGCCGGTGGGGTTGGGGTTGGGGTGGGCGCTTGGACTTCTGGGTGGGCGTCTCGGGGCGGGGCGGGTTGGGCGGTGGAGCGAGTTCGGGTGGCGTGGCGAGGGGAGGGGAGGTTGAAAAAAGATACGGTTGCGGGAGTGACGTCAGGGGGGGAGAATCGGGGCAGAAGCTGCCCGCGCTGGGCGGCGTCTTCGGCTTGGCGGTGAATTGCTGGGATGGGGCCCGTCCGATGGGGTAGCTGGTTGTGGTGGAGTTGCCTGGGCTTGCAGCGTGTTGAGCGCGTGGTGGAGGCGCCCGGACGTGCAACGTGTAGAGAGTATGGGACGAGCGTGGGGAGCGGCGCCTTGGGGGTGCGTCTTGGCGAACTTGAGAAGTTGGGTTTGTTACAGGTGGAGTTGGGCCCCCGGGGGGGGCTGGCTCCTGTGAGGTGGAATGTGGCTTAGGGAGCAATGGCTGCGCCGCTGTCGCGTTGGGTGCGCGAGCCCTGTGATTTGCCTTGTTTGAAAGCAAACCCTGGCGCGGGGGAGCTATTGACGGTCGCTTGCGAGTTGTTGCCTCTGTCCGCGCTACCGCCGGCGGTGTCCGGTGGCGAGCTGATGGCGACAAAGGTGAAAAGGGTTGTGGTGCGCTGCGCCCAATCCGGACTTAAAACTTTCCTTGAAGGTTGGTTGGTGAACAGTTGGGTCGACTGCTGACGGGCATATGGCAAACTGCCCAATTAGCAGTAGAAGCTCATCTTGTGAACTCAACGAAAGGATGAAACGCACAAGCAGGTCGGGATCGGAGTGTGAGTCCGCGGGCAACTGGAACAGTGGACTGATGGGGGCAACTAGAAGGGGTCTGAGTAGCGCATCCTTTTGCAATGGATTGCGCGATGCCATCTGTCTCTGGGTGGACAAGGAATGCAGTCGCTGAGTGCGTTCTGGATGGCAAAAATGTTGCATTCAAGCAGAAAACGGTGGGTATTTTGCTGCAATCGTCATTGACTACGAATGAGCCTGAATCCAACAAGACTAGACTTTAGGTGCCATCAGAGTATTTGCAGCAGTGACCAATTTAGGTGGTGCCAGGACTGGTGCCACAGAATACAAAATCGGGCCTTTAGTCCTCTCTGCTGTTGGCAGTGATGCTGTTAGGTCGCAGAGGGTCTGTCCCTTATTTCCAGTTTGTGTGTGAGGAGAGCTCAAGGAAATGCGTGATCCCAGTGATGGGATCCCAGTATGGCTTCAAATTCCATAACGGACTTGCGCTCACGTGCTGCTCCACTACAATTGGAGATGGTGTGTGCGGAGGTCCTTCTGTTGAAGATAGCTCATTCACATACACACCACCTGCTTTGTGCAATGAACTCTGAAACAGAGGTGTCTGAAAGTTCGCTGTGCTGGGTTTTGATGGGTATGAAGACCTCAGCAGATCTGATAACATATGAAGCATGTTCTGGCAACATAATAACACAGAAAATGTACGTTACCATGCCAAGCTATGGTTCCACCAGCGGCTGGCATGTGCAGGAAACTGACAGTTGGGTGCCCAAGAGTTCAACATCGTGTGCCACAGAAGTTTCGTCATACCCCAAAGTGGCATCTGTATCACCTCACACTGCTGTGCAGCCCTCCGTTTCCTTGCTGTCAAGAAATTTTGCTTCTCACAGTCAGCTGGAACACAAAAGAAAGCAGATGTGCAGGATTCTGTGGTCTCTCAAGACCGATGGTCGCCACTCTCGGAATGGGCCATGCCTCCTGTTGTGGCAGTCAGCCATAACTTCAGAAGGCCATTGGGTGACTATTGAGCCAGCAATAAGATTGTCGTTTTAAGAAGGGGATACACACAAGCCTGTAACAGCCAAGTGGAAGAGCTGTTTTCCTGATGTTGCTTTTGCGTCATGGCTTGGGTGCATGGGGTTTTGGCCACTGTCGACAGCCTCAAGTTGTTTGGAGGGTAGCATGGGGAGTTTTTCCATCAATAGGCAGCTTGGAGTGCATTATCTTCCCATAGGGATCTGTCAGATCTGTTTCTGACACTGTCACATGTGTTCCAGCATATTTGAATCCGCTTGCATCAGTTCATTCTTTTGGAATTTTGTGCACCCTGCAATGTGGCACCATATTGGTGGGCGTCACCAGCTTCCACTTCTGGCTCTTGCTTCTTACAATTCGCGATTTTGTCACTTGCCACAGGGTATCCACAACCTGCTTTAGTCTTTTGCCCGCAGCAGTTCACGTCCAGCAATGCTGCTAACCAACTGTGCCAATGCTGGTGCTGTGAACATCAGTATCGATGCAGCTGATAGAATGTCTGGCCACCATAGGGCTGAGACAAGGCAGTCAATATAAGTGCACAAGAAACTCCAACAAAAAGGCCTTGTTGCACCTTGCATACTGCTTGAGGCATTCTTGATTTCTTGATTTCTTGATTTTCACAGAACTTGTTGGGCAGGCAACAAGGCAGCAATTTGCAGCCTGTGAAAATTGTTGTACGGGAATGTCAAATGATAGGAATCCGCATGTTGTACCTTACAATTTCTGTACTCTGTTGTCAAACGATGCGAACTTGCAGGAACCTGCAAAGCAAATCTGCGGTTTGTGTGGGTGGAGCAAGTGGCACGGATGATGGCAGCGTGCCGTTCCAGAGATTCTCAGCTAGCTGAAGTGCATTGAGAGACTGCTGTTGTCAAGTGCAAACTGTAGCAACTCGCTTTCTGGATCTGGGCACCACCGTCCATGCCACAGGCCCATTGGCGCAAGTTGCGCAGATAATCCCCCAGCGACGATAACGATCTGTCGAACGATGGTATGACTCTCAAGCGAAGCATGCCCTGGCCATAAATGGATCATGATTTCTCGACAGGCATTTCCACAACCTCACAAGTCCTTCAGCCACAGATCCGCCAAAGCCGGTGATCGAGAGGAAATCGCGCTACGCACACAGCACACCCGAACTGGGCAGTCAGCTGTGATCGATCCTCCCCGGTTGTAATTCCGTCAAGCACAGGAAACTTGCCACATCAGCCAGGGCGCCCGTTGCAATCGAGACGGCAAAGCATTCCCCGTGCGCGCCTCCCCAGCTTTCAGGAATCATCCCGCACACGGCCCCACAAGCACGAAGGTCAGAAAACATCCTCTCTCAAAAAGCGCAGGAGCCCAACCTCTTTGTTCCCAAGATTATCGATCCATGCTCTCCACTTCCCCCTCTCCCTCCCGCTGCGCCCTCTGTCACCCCATTTTGGCGATCTCCGCCTTCAGCCGCTGCGCGAAGTCTGGGTTAGTGTCCTCGTCGTCCCAGTCCGGCTGCCACAGCTGCGCCTCGGCCTCAGCCCTCGCCAGCTCCTCCTTCCAGTCTTCGTTCTCGAACTCCTCGAAGGTGTCGTCCTCCTCCAGGGACACCTCGCGCCGCTCGCGCCCCTTCTGGTCGGCCATGGTCAGCGCTTGCCAACGTGGTAGAGGCCTGTCGAAAGGGCTGGCCGCCTGGGCTGCTGTGCTCCCCGCCCACTACGGGTTCTTTGGCTTTCCTGTTTTGGCCATGCACATCATTTTGTGCGATTGTTGGATGGGGAGAAATGTAAAGGAGACAAAATGAACCTTCCCGATGGTCAGGGTAATTGTGGATGCCGTTGCCTGGGAAGAAATGTCTAACAAGATTGAACCTTCTCGACGTTCCGAGGTTTCATCGGTTGCCCCATTTATCCGCCACCGTGGCAAAGGGGTGGCGTTTACGCGTGCACCCAGCAGTTGTTGGTCACCTGTGGTGCCTGCCACCTGGAGAAAGGAAGTGAATTGACGTGTGCCGGGCATGCTCGAATGCCTCTCGTTGCTCTGTGGAGCAAGTTATGTATGGATACCACTGTTTGTTGCATGAAACAGGGCACATCTCGACTAGAGGGTTGACTCTGCGCCCAGAATTTTCAACTGCTTGGCATAGCTAAGGGTACCATTAAACATTACTGCAAGCGCTGAAATTATCCCTGACTTTCGCGTTCCTTGACTCAATGAGATGACAGTCTTTTTTTCGATATGGAACAACGCACAGCTGAAATAGCACATTTGGCTTGTTCTTCATGCAGTGTATTGCATTTACACATTCGGCCTCCCAACATATTTTTTGTCACCTCTAAAAGGCCCGCGGCCAGGAATATATCAAACATGCAAAGGCAACGAGCACACCAGCAACACAGACACAATTTTGCGTATACCAATCAACCCTTATGCTCATCACCAACTTTGTTCACTCCATCCAGGCATCTACTGACTCTGGCACCCACCCTGCTGATCCGTGGGTGAAGTCCTGCAGAAGAAATGTCAGCAATCAAACAGTTCTATTACGCAAAAGTCAAAACTCTATGTGCTCTGGCCAGACATCACAAAACTATGCAATTCCCTTTTGGGATGCAATCCTGTGCACTCCCATGCCATATGCTGGTGAGAAGAGGGCCTTTCCACAAGAGGCAAGAAACCCACTCCACTGCCTCATCTACCACAGATGTTCGAAACACAATCCACACATGCGGACATTCTGCTCCTGAAATGTATCCACTTATCCGATTTGAATGGCCCACCACAGAGGCCCGAAAATGACGATCCACAAAGCTGCATGCGATGCGGACACGGTACTGATATAGCTGATTACTACTGTTCTCCTATGACGCAAATCTAGCAGCCCTGCCTTTGGAAGTCTGCAAGCAACAGAGTTGGCTCCGAACTGCAATAGCCACATATTTTAAAGTGATGGGGATTACTGCTTTGGCAAGCTACAAGCTGTACTGCGTTGTTGCATCACTTCACAATGGTCAGATTCAGACAACACACGAAACCATGTGCTGTTTGATTGATATAAACTGACAGCTGGCATTCATCCATCCAGAGCAGCTCGATGTGCCTGCCACTGCACAGAATGTTACAGTCATGGACATTACTATTCAGGAAATTGCTTCCAGCTGTGGCTAGCCTCCATTGCACTGATTCACAACACCCTTTCCCAGTGGAGCACTTGGCCTGGGTGCATTGATGTGATCGTCCACCGTTTGTCCACTGCTGTGAGCTCGCAGGAATCTACACCCAACATAGATATTGGTTGGGCAGGGCTGGAGAAGCTTGCCCGAACCACTAGTTCAGTGCATGTACTAGATGCTGACCACTAAATCTAGCAAATGTATTTTGGTGTAGGCCCAATGAACCACAAGGTTAGGAAGCACCGAGTCGGTAGCCCTTACAAGAATGTGAAATGAGCCCGATGCGCCTGAATGTTGTTTCCGATTTGTGGTGTGGTTTCCACAGAAGGGATGAATCTCTTGTATCCACTGCATATCAGCCCAGTTGCTAGTCGATCCCCTGTAGCTGTCTGTTGCTGCACCCGCACATGCAATAAAGCTGCAGACCATTGTCGCCCTAGGCAGCCCTTGCAGGGTGTCACATGCAACAAAGATGAACAGCCAGATGGCTGCATCGAACAAACTCATTTTAAGCACTCTATCAGCCTTCGTTCGTCATTATCTGAAATCCTTTGCGATGAGACAGAACTTGACTATCCTGCACTACCCAAACATGATAATCTAGCAGCCACACCAGCCAAACGTGGAGTTCTGTGCCACGCTGCCACAAACAGGCAGCTGCCTCTCAAGCTGTCAGTGCTATCCACCGCACGCCAATGAACTCAGCCAGGCCCAGAAATCTAGGGACCAAACAACCAGTTACCTTGCTATTATCCTTCCAGACTCCTCAACAATCAATTCACTTGCAGGTCTACGACTGTCAAGGCTCGGTTGCTTTCCTGGCACAACACATTTCCTCAAAAGATTCACATCACGACTCTCTCCGATCACCCGCCAATCTCTGCCAACCTCTGTCCTGCTTTTCCCCTGGGCACCATGCTGGCAAGCAACGGAGCTGACCCAAGTTCCCCTTCTCTTCACTCCCCTTCCTCATCCCTCTGCACTCTCGCACACACCTGCTTATGAAGGGGTGCCCTTTGCAGGACATGTTTCTCTTTGTAACAAATCTCACCCCTCCTCACTCCTCCTCCTTTTCCGGCGGCAGGCCGCACGGCAGCAGCATCTTCTGCAGCAGGTTGTACCGCACCCTGCCGATCGACTCGTTCTCCGCGACCGCCAGGTAGCACAGCATCGACTGGTGGCCCACGTAGGAGGCGTAGCTGTCGCGGTGCACGTTGACAGCCCACTCGAATCTGTTGATGTCTGCGTGCCCCGTGCCCACGTACTTGGACTGCAGGTGCTCGAGCTGGCTGTTGATGTTGAAGCGGTCCTGGAGGGTGGCCATGGCGGGCGGGCGGGCGCACGACGAGGCGGTGGATGGGGGCTTGCGTTTGCCAAGCGCGGATATGTACCCCAAGGCAGTCCACCCAGGGGCACCCCAGGGCGATAGTCCACTACAGCACTTCAGATGTGGAATGCAGTAGCACATTGGCAATGATGCAACGAGAACTGATTGGTTGTTATTAATAGTTGAACACATTAATAGTTGATGAAACACTAGGAGCTGCATTAAAGATGTTGATGAACGGACTGGATATAAGAGACAGAACACCGTTGTCTCTTTGCTCGGCTGTAAACCCGTTCCCGTGGACTTGAGCATACGATTCCCAGTCAGGGATCGCCACCCCTCGATCCTGCCCGCCTTCGTCAGCAATACCGAGTACGTGAGCTATTCTGTTGGGTCGCGCCAACGAGGCAGGCCTTGAGTCTGTAACGACAGGTGCGCCTGACAAGAGCTTCCGTGGCATCGCACTCTGACAGAGCCCCAGCATCCCTCAATCGCTAATCTTGACTGGCTTGATTGCTCCCACTCCAAGGTGGTGGTCGATTCCCACCCCACCACTTTCGCGCCCGCTGCCCCGGTTCTCGAAAATGGGCCACATCGTCATCGCCCTTGCTGTCTGCGATCCCGCGGCCAACAAGCTCTCCTTGGAGCTCTCGTGCCAGCTGGCCAATCGCAAATGATGCGCTGCCATGCAAGCTTGCTGGGTGCGGACGCGGCGTAGTGCCGTGCCGTGGATCGCAACTTGTCCCCTCAGTCCGCCCATTGCTTGACGCTGTGGACATATGTGTGCGCGGACCTACTCCCGTCTGCCAGGTGCTCGCCGTGAGTGGCTATTTCTGGCATTAGGAATTAGAAACTCCTGTCGACGGGGCGGCGACAGCGTGACCCCCATGCTGCCTGAATCGTTACTTATTTGAATTCGTGGGAGACCCCGCCTTGCCGCAGTAGTTGTCCGTTGGCCGAGTGGCCCCAGCCGCTCACCCGAACCCTCTCCGGCCCGCCCAATCCCACCAATCTGCGCGATGCCTTCGCAGTGCTCCGGACCTCCTGGGCCGCGCGTTCCGCCGCGACAGCGATGGTACAAGACGCCAGGACACTGAGCATCAACGTGGCTGGGCGATGGCTAGCTGAGGTGAATCCACGCCAACTTGCGCAACTTGAGAGGCGCGCCGCGCGTGCGTGGTGTGTCGCCCGATTGGCCAGGCGCGACGAGTGGCGGCCGTGAATCACTGCACGCCCTGCGCGATCGGGCGATCCCTTTGCCCATTTGCAGGATGGACAACGGCGAATCGCGATCCGCGGGTGGCGGATCGTCGACATTCGATGGTCGGCTTCCCGATCAAGGTCTTGGCGTCAGCTGGGAAGGCGAGGGCAGGCACAGTGGCATCCGAACAATGAACAACCAGACCATGCTCGATTCGCACCCACAGGTCCAGGTCGGTCTAGACTTGCTGACGATGATCTGGTGTGTTGCCCATTCGGGTCTGCAATTGATTTCGTCTGAAGAAAATCGGCAGGCACGAAATTGCCCAAGCTCGTTCGTGGTGGCGATGGTCGTAAATTACAAGAGGGTCATGTATTGTGCACGTGCCCAAGAAAGGGGAAAGAAAGGACGCAGAAAGAATGCTGCAAACATTGCATTACCCCCGTGCCTGTCTGCTTGAGGAAAGCAGGCAGGATTTGAAAGATGATCATGTCATTTTCGGAAAATGTCTAACACGCTGAAAAGGGCTGCAAGGGCTGTCCCGATGCGACCGGCAGGACGTACCAGACCATCAGAAAACCTCGGCACATGTTCTGATTCAATGAAATAATGCCAGCCCTTGGCGTTGTATTCGCTGATTAGTGCTTAAGGTGATTAGTATGTCATCCATCTGAAGATCGCATTATTAGTCAGATTTGACGTAAAAGACAGGTCAATTGACGAACATATCGTGTTGTATGTGTTTGTTTGTGTTCATTGGTAAGGCGCTCATACGATCATTGCTCCAGAGCATCCTGCGAAAGTCAAAGGCTCAGATTGTGTGGTAGCTGTTATGGCGGAGCCATTTGCGTGTTCTACTGTTTGACGTGCATCCTTTCTTTGCTTAAATCTGTTATGCCTGGGGGGTCATGAGTCGTACACCACGCAGTGTGAATGAATTTCCTCCATTTTTGGACCATTCTGGTTGTGCCCAATGTAAATGGAACTCGTGAGCCGAGGCCAATCGCCACAATCGCGAACGGCAACTCTCTCTACCGTAGCCACGGTTTTGGGAAACCGGAGAAGCCTTCCCTGCTGTTTCTTGGCTGGTGGCGAGGGCAATGTGTGCGCGAAAATCTCAACATATATCGCAAATCGACTGCCAAGCAGTGGCAACGCGCACGTCGCCATCGCATGATTTGCGCTCCCAATGTAAGAGTAGTGAGTGCAATGTGGACAGGGACAGCGCGTTCCACGAGGGCAGTCCAGGTCGCGCGAAAGGATCGCTATGGAGCCGTGGAGTGATGGCACCCGTTCGAGGGCAATTTGAACTCCAGCAGAGGAAGCAGCCCCGAGGAGCACACAACACAGCGTATTGTCGGATGATAGTTTTCGGCGCCTCCGTTTGGCCATTTCAGACCATGCATACACGGCCATAGGAATTCCCAGGTGAGGTCCCACGCCCAATTGCTGAGCTTTTCGGCAGCGCCACCCCGTCCGCGCGCGTCCATTGAAACAAGGACATGTCCAAGCGAACGGCATCCGCATACAGAAATGCTCCATGCGGTCCATTGCCAAGAATGCGTGTCATTCTCTAGCTTCTCGAACACAAGCGTCACCAGCACCCCGATTCGCTCTTTCCATGCTGCTGGGATGAGTCCAGCGATGGGTCACCGACGGGTCTCGACTCGCCAAAGCATGTGTGCGTGGCCATCACATTGCGCCGCGAGCATTTCCCGGCCATCCTCAGAATGGGAGGCGCGCCGGGAGCTTCTCGGTAGTCCATCATGTTACAGGCACAGCTGGCGGTGTCGACAGTGCGTGGCTACCCATCAGCGACATCGTGTGGATAAAATGGAATGATTTGCAGTAAGTATTGCCGCCTGCTTAACGCGTGAGTGATGCATCTTCCTCAAGCGGGCAATCACACAATAAAAATGACCTCGGAAAGCCGCCGATACCTTTTGTCAATTGGTATCTCCTTTTGCATAAGCGCGAAATGGGTTGAAGTTTTTCAACGTCCTTTAAAGAACACTGCTGCGATGCATAATCCCGTGATCACACCCATGAAGGTTTCTTGCGGATGCTGATCCATTTTCTTTACTATAGCGAAAAATTCTCCCCAATAGATTTGGCGCTCAACGAAGTCCATCACACGAATGGAAATCGGCTAGAGGAATTGGCGCCAGTACTGCGCTGAATTTCCTACAACGATTTGTTTTGCATACCGTGCGCAATGGCACCATCTCCAGCCCCATGGCATACACCTCACCATGCTAATCCAGAGCTGTTTGAAGGGCTGTCATGAACTGGCCATCTATATGTCCAGAAGTTGGTTGTTGGACACACTATTTGAGACGATCACTGTGAAAGGAGCCAGTGACGTTGATTACATTATTTTGTTGTAATCCAGAGCAGGCAAGCAGGAATCCATAAGTACGCCAAAATCAATCCTCGGCTTGCTCACTTGGAATCTTCAAGCCAATATCTTGTAAAGGTTAACCAGGGCGCCGCCATCCGGCCGCACGCGCTAGACTTTCCAGGCCATATTCGGAGTAAGAGGTGCGCCTGGAGGCTTTTGAATAGTCCAATGCTTCAAAGACGTAGCCTAAAGTGTCGATACTCCGTGGCGCGCCCATCAACACACCCTGCATAAAAGGTGGAATGAGTGAAAATCAGTGTTTCCGCTGGTGCAGTGAGCGCATTTGAAGCATCTCTCTTCGACGGTCATTGACAAACCAATAGTATCCTTAGAAAGCCGCCAATATCTGCTGTCAAATGATTACTTTCTTTTACCTCATGAGGTAATCAGCGCAAAAATAGAATGAAAAGAACACTGCTGCCTTCTGTGGTCCCGTGCGCGCATCCATGAAGGTTGCTTGCGAAAGCAGATCCGTGATATTCATTACAACACAAAATTTGCCCCAACAGTTTCGGCAATGGAATTGGTGTGTTCGATGAAGTCCATCACGCGAATAGAAATTGGCTGGAGGAATTTGC